CCCCCCCCCCCCAAAAAACACACTTTACCAAAAGCAGTAGCATGTTACTTCAACCCGGCTCTGCAGTGCCTGTATAGACTGGGAGCTTCAGCAGGGCTTTTTGGAGCCTTTATCTAATAGCTGATTCAAACACCTAAAAGCAACAAAAAAGCTCCACTAAAGTGCCAAATCTATACAGACATTGGGAAAGCCAGGTTCAAGTAACGTAATGCCTCTTCTGGGCATGTTCGGGGCTCGGTGCAGGAGCACACCAAGTTTAAAATAAAGCTCCTCTTTTTTCTTGCATTCATTACCTGAACATGTAGCTGAGATACTGGGTTAATCATGTCTTAAGTGTAATGTCTGCCAGGGACCACAGACAAGCACTTATTCGCCACACAATTGTGCTTCTCTGAAGATTTCTTTTACTCATCAGTCTTAGCTCCTATGCACGAGATGCCTAAACTCTCCTCATTTTCAATGTTCTCAAGTAGCTCATTGGAAAACCTATCCAAGGTGTCTTCCTGTCACCTGCCACTGCTATTATGAATAAATGTCACCACTCTAGCAGGACGGAGTAGAAGATGATAAAAATTAGCCAGAAAATGCCATTCCCCAATCAAAATGAAAAAACTTTCCTTAAAAAAAAATTGCTAGAAAACAATAATCCTCCAAACAACAACCTATACACTTTGAGGTAAAAAGGTGAGTGCGATCCAAGTTATGCACAAAGAAGCAGAATTAGAAGACACTTATTTTACACTTTTCTAAGACCACTTAGACAAGATTTTCAATTCTCTCTTATCACCTAAATCCATTGAGTTGAACCTTTAACCAACAGCAATACAAGGCAAATGCCAAGAGTTTGGTCTATCATGACCATATATCAGCAACAGAAAGAGAAGATACAAATAGACTTTTTAGGATCGGAACCATTTTTCAGTTGCATGCTTGTACAGTACCTAGCACAAAGGGGCAGTAGTCTGTGCACTGCAACTAAAAATGTAACCCTACCAGATCTGCCTAACCATACAATATTAAAGAATCCAAGGAAAGAAAAAATCCTGTTCAATTACAGGACATCCGAAAGAAAAATCTCTTTCCAAGCTATGATTTAATCATGTATCATCTTGTTTCTTTTCCCAGCTGATGCATAAAAAAACCTTAAAAAATGAAAAGAAAACACCCTATAAAAGAAAATATATAAATCATAAATAAAAGTAAACATGTTTAAACATTAAGGAAAATAAATAGTCTCTAACCATTCTGTTTTCTTTTGGTCATAGGAAAGTTTGAGAGAGCAAGAGTGTTTTATGTTAAACAGGGAGAGCCAGTGCTTTGCATGCCCTTAAGGGGTACATAAGTTTCACAAAAAGATCACAGTCCTGATGGAAGCAAGTCTAATAGGCAAAGCCATCTTTGCATCCTCTTAATGCTGAACTGCTGAAGCTTCAATGAGACCAGGGCATTCTTCCAACCTTCTTTACATTATCCCAGTTTTGTCTGGAACCTGCATCCTGCAGCCAAGCTCATGACCAGGGATCCTGGTTTTCTCCGTTTAAAAAATGCAAATTCTCTGATATATTTACAGTTTTAAAGCAATGTATACACCTACCAGTGCCTCAATAATAAAATAAATTCTAAAAAACTATAAATTTTGATGTTGGGTTCTTTATCATGGAAAATCAGAGCTCCCCTGCCCCCTTTGCTCACCAGGATGTCCAACTCACTGCTTTGTGGTGCTGAGGAGCCCTGATATGCCATTGCCTTGCCCATGCCATTGCCCTCCCTCCCCCAACCCTGCTGGTGCCTTCACTCCTGACCTGCAAACTTAATGCCCTGCTGGTGCCCCACTCCCTTCCCACAGCCCCCTACCTGGGGTCCCCCAGCTGCCAGGGCTATGGGGCCAGGGACCTGAGTCCGCAGCCCCTTGGCCCCCACAGCAGTACCTGAACCCTGGCTGCTGCTCATGGAAGGCAGCAGCTGCTGCGGCCCAAATGGAGCCCAGTTCCCCCTCCCCCATGGGCACACTGCTAGAGCAGAACCCATGAGGGTGGTGGATGTAGGCCAACAGCTGCAGACTTGGGGTGGGCAGGACCTGGCACAGCAGGGCAAAGCAGGGCAGGGATGCTCACTGCCACCGCTGGGAGCCCAACACTGCCATGGCAAGGCACTCCCTGCCCACTTCGCAGCAGTAGGGTAGCGGAGTTGTGTCCCACACGGCTGCTGGGCAAGCCTTACTAGTGCCTTGCCATGGTGGTGAGGCTCCCAGTGACAGCACTGCCCTCCTGTTTTGCCTTGCTGCACTGGGTCGCACCTGCTGGGCTACAGAGGCTCCCAGGGAGTAGGCAGCAGGGTGGGGAGCCCCAAGCCTGTATCCACACCCCACCCCACCCCAGTTTCCACTTCAGCAGTGCTGCCCATGGAGCAAGACGTGGGGGATGGAAGCAAGGGGCACCAGCAGGGCTGTGGGGGCCTGTGGGTGGAGGGTGAGGGGCACTGCCAAGGCCAGAGGAGGGGCTGGGGGTCCTGACCTTGGGCCCCAAGAACCACCCTGACTGGGCAGTCCTGCCCAACTCCCCACCAACTATGGGGGCCTCAGTTTCCCCCCTTACCTGGGGGGAGCTGCTCTCCATGCTGCCCAGCTGCCACGTGCATGTGTGCATGCAGACATGCATGTGGCTCCCCGTGCCTTATTGCCCTCCTTCCTGCTCCCCTCAGCCCCTTGCAGGCTGGGATTCTGCCAGCTTGCAAGGGGAAACCCACTATTTCCTGCAATCTGCGTTTTTCTCCTTAACAAGAGAAAATCCACATTTTATGGCAAACAGAAAACCCAGATCCCTACTCATGACTCACCCTCCCACCATCTGTATACAGACATTCATTTTTACCAGAAGAAATTTCTTCCAGTAGAAAACAGCCCAGGAGCTTGACTGTACGCCAGGGAGCTGCCCTTAGAGGAGTCCATTCCCCCTGCCTGGGAAAGGGGCAGGCTGTCAGTTACTGAAAAGTAACCTTATCTACTCCTCCCCACAGCACCTTCTCAAGACAGGCATGACCCCAGCCTTCAGAAAACAGGTCCCCAGGAGAAGTTAAGCAAGGGGAAAGTGTTATCTCCCAGGATAAACTATTCTGGCAGGTTAAACTGATATAACTTAGCAACAATCAGGGTTAAATTTACTCCTGGAGTGGTCATTTTTTCTCTGGGATAAAAAGCCTTACTATCTATCCACTTTTGATTTCTATCGGGAGAATGGCAATTCTCCCAGTAGGAAATAAACATCTGTACCTGGCCCACATTCCCTAATCCAACATTTATTTGTAAAGGGAGTCTTTAAAGGTTCTTGTATAACTCCTGCAGTGCCTGTACCCAGAACCTTTTGTGTCAAATACATGGAAGAGAATTTTTCTTATATGTTGCTATCACATTGCATCTTCCACATCTTCTACAGCATATTTTTGTGGTTGTATGTGAAGAAATGTTTTATGCAAATTCAACTATGTTCTTCAAAGAAACATTTCAAGTGACAGGTAAATTCTAAGGTTTTATTTTTTTCTGACAAAGTATGCAAAGCATCAATATTGGCATTTGAGGGTTTTTCCTTTTTATTTTAACACCTAATACAATTCCAATTTAAAGGATTACTTGCACAAAAAAATAAACACATTTGGTATAAAAAATTTATCATCACTTTAACACCCTTTCTCTTATGACCTGCACCCTGTTTGGGGCAGAAACATATAAAGACTAATGGCACAAGTTTGTATTTTCTCTAAAGAGGTTTGTTTTTATGTACCCATGTACTCCAGAGGACACCAGCCCGCTTTATACAAGAACCATTTTCTTCAGCCTGCTGAATTTAGTTTCACAAAAGAAACAAAGCTATAAAGGCATTTAAAAACCATTGTCTTATAGTCTCTCTTTTTTAGAAGCACTGACTTTTTTGCACCATTTATATACATAATGTAACATAACAGCTCTTGAGTACAGTACATGCAGCAGAATGTCTGTTGAATATAAAACATACATTTAAAATCTTCACTTAGAATCCTTTGAAGACTGAATTATTGTAGAATGCCCACTGCTTAGAGAAAATGGTTGGAGAGTACAAATGTCTGCATATGTTGGCCACTGGAACAATCCAAAGCCAACTGGAATATTTGTAGCACATCAATAGTGCATAAATAATTTACTTACAATATTAAAACACAACTAGCAAAAGTAATAGTTCAATATCTTATGACTGCTAAATCTTTTAAGTGGTTGCAGAGAAGTGTTTTGTTTTCTTTTATTAAGTCCTCTATAAAATCTTTAGTATGTACTTTGTTTTCCAAATGAAGTTTATTTATGTCTACTGCCTCTTCTCTTCATTGCAGCAGTACATTGTGGACAATACCATTTTCCTTTTGGAGCCTCTGTCAGTCCAACACAGCCATAATGGAACCACTCTATAGGACACTGTAAAACAAATTTACAGGAAAAGTTTTATTACACCTGTGGCAAGAAAAAGATATTATGAAAACAGAAGCACTGCTCTAGATGATATAATGAAGGCTTGTAACCTATTCACTATATGCAAATTAAAAAGGGGAAAAAGTCCAATAATGAGAAGGATAGAGGAAAAACTCCACTTCCACATATACACTCATTTATAAATATAAATTAAACGTCAGCCGCAACCCTGGACTAATGTACCAAAGTAAAAGTTTAAATCTTTTCCTAAGTTTGGATTTAAACAGTTTTGTTGCATGTTAAAAAGCACAGTTGTAATTACATAATTACTCACTGCGTGTAAGTGTGTTAGGATGAGTTAATAAGCTAAAACTGAATATTTAACCAAGAAAAAACCAAACCAAATCATAGAACAATTTTTGCCGAACTATCATCAATAGATACTGTGCCTGAATGAAGCAAAAGTTCAATTGCTTAGATTTGAATGATGATCTCTCAAAAATGCATAAGAACACATACCAACGAGAGTACTATAACAATACAGTGAAAAGGGAAGACAACCTGAAGAGCAACTGAACTGGCATGCATATTAACTAACATTAATCATAGTATTTCACATTATACTCCTAGGTAAATTTTAGATTCTAATTATAGAATCACAGAAAGGTAGGGTTGGAAGGGACCTCAGGAGCTCATCTAGCCCAACCTCCTACTCAAAGCAGGACCAGCCCCAACTTGATCATCCCAGCCAAGCTTTGTCTAGTCGGGTTTTGAAAAACTCCAAGGATGGAGCTTCCATAATCTCTCTGGGTAACCTGTTCCAGTGTTTTGCTACCCTCTTAGTGACATAATTCTTCCTAATATCTAACTTAAATTTCCCTTGCTGCAACTTGAGACTGTTGCTCCTTTTCTGTGATCTGTCACCACTGAGAACAATCTAGCTCTATCCCGTTTCGAACCCCCCTTCAGGTAGTTGAAGGCTGCTATTAAATCCCCACCTCAGTCTTCTCTTCTCTAGACTGAATAAACCCAGTTCCCTGAGCCTCTCCTCACAAGTCACATGCACTAGCCTTCTCACCACTTTTGTTGCCCTCTGCTGGACTCTCTCCAACCTGTTCACATCCTTTGTGTAGTCAGGGGCCCAAAACTGAACACAGTACTCCAGATGTGGCCTCACCAGTGCTGAACAGAGGGGAAGAATCACTTCCCTAACAACACACCTACCAATGCAACCCAGTATGCCATTGGCCTTCTTGACAACAAGGACAAACTGTTAGCTCATATTCAGCTTATTGTCCACTGTAAGCCCCAGAGTTGCTGCCCAGGCAGTCAGCCCCCAGCCTGTAGTGGTGCATGGGATTGTTCTGTCCTAAGTGCAGGACTTTGCACTTGTCTTCACTGAACATCACGATATTCCTTTTGGCCCAATCCTCCAATCTCTCTAAGTCACTCTGAATCCTAGCCCTACCCTCCAGTGTATCTACTACTCCCCCCAGCTTGGTGTCATCTGCAAACTTGCTGAGGGTGCACTCCATGCCATCTTCCAGGTCATTGATAAAGATATTGAACAAAACTAGTCCCAGGACCGAACCCTGGGGCAATCCACTTAATACTAGCTACCAACTAGACATTGAGCCATCATTTACTAATCTCTGAGCCCAATGCTCCTGCCAGTTTTCTATCCACCTTACAGTCCATTCATCCAGCCCATACCTCCTTAGCTTGCCTGCAAGAATTCTGTGGGAGACTGTATCAAATGCTTTGCTAAAATCAAGGTACACCGCATCTTCTGGTCTCCCCACAAAACCAGTCACCTCATGACAAAGCAATCAGGTTGGTCAGGCATGACTTGCCATTAGTGAACTGCCATGCTGACTGTTCCTAATCATCTTTTTCTCCTCCAAGTGTTTAGAAGTGGATTCCAGGAGGATCTCCTCCATGATTTTTCCAGTGACTGAGGTGAGCCTGACTGGTCTGTAGTTCCCTGGATTCTCCTTCTCTTTTTTAAATATAGGCACTATGTTTGACCTTTTTCAATCATCTGGGACCTCTCCTGATCACCACAAGTTTTCAAAGATGATGGCCAACGGCTCTGCAGTCACATCAGCCAACGCCCTCAGCACCTTTGGGTGCATCAGCCCCATGGACTTGTACACATCCAGCCTTTCAAAGTAGTCCCTAATCTGTTCTTTCAGCACTGAGGGCTGCTCAGCTCCTCCCCAAACTGTGCTGAGCAGTGCAGAAGTCTGGGAGCTGTCTTTGTTTGTGAAAACTGAGGCAAAAAAGGCATTAAGCACTTCAGCCTTTTCTGCATCCTGTCACAAGGTTGCCTTTCCTGACTTCATCCCTGAGCGATGCTCTATATTCTTCCCTAGCTGTCTGTCCAAGTTTCTACTTCTTATAAGTTTCCTTTTTGTGATTTAGTTTGCAAAAGAGTTCCCTGCTAAGCCAAGCTGGTCTTCTGCCATACTTGCTAGTTTCCCTGCACATTGGGATGGTTTGTTCCTGCCCTCTCAGTAAGGCTTCTTTCAAGTACAGCCAGCTCTCCTGGACTCCTCTCCCCTCAGTATGGCTTCTCAGAGAATCCTGCCCACGAGTTCCCCGAGTGAGTCCAAGTCTGCTTTTTTGAAGTCCAGGGTCCTTACTCTGCTGTTCTTCATTCTTCCTTTCCTCAGGATCCTGAACTCAATCATCTCGTGGTCAGTGCTGCCCAACTTGCCATCCACTACTACATTCCCCACCAATTCTTCCCCGTCTGTGAGCAGCAGGTCAAGAAAAGCATGGCTCCTAGTTGGCCACTCCAAGACTTGCACCAGGAAGTTGTCCCCAACACTGTCCAAAAACTTCCTGAGTTGCCTGTGCTCTGCTGTACTGCCCTCCCAGCAGATGTCAGGGTGACTGAAGCCCCTCAAGAGGACCAGGGTCTGTGATCGGGAAACTTCCACTAGCTGTTTGAAGAAAGTCTCATCCACCACTTCCTTCCTGGACTGTTGGTCTATAGACCAGACCCCCACCACAACATCACCCTTGTTGCTCTCCTCTCTGACCCTACCCCGAGACTCTCAACAGGCCTATCTCCAGCTTCATACTGGAGCTCTGAACAATCATATGGCTCTTTATATGAAGTGCAACTCCTCCTCCTCTCCCCCCCTCCCTGTACTTCCTGAACAGTTTGTACCCATCCAGACAGTGCTCCAGTCATGCAACCTATCCCACCATGTCTCTGTTATTCCAATCATATCATAGTTCCATGATTGTGCAAGGACTTCTAATTCTGCCTGCTTGTTGCTTCCTACTTGATCAGACAACCGGGTCACACTGCTTTCATATTACCTGAGAATCTGTACTGATACCTGCCTAATTTTTTATTGCTAGTCTCTCCCCACCATACTTTTGCACCGTTCAATTTTCTTACAGAGCTCCTCTGGTTGCCAGCTGTGTTGTTAGAATATTCAGCAAGTTATAGAAAAGCAAAATGATAAGTGGTAGATAGCAAAAACAAACTAAGACCAAAGCCCACTAAGACCAAGAGAGTAAAAGTGGTACACCTCTATCAGAAAGCCTCAGACCGCAAAAATGTCACCTTTGTGCTTCCATAAAAAAAAAAAAATTATGGTGGCAGAAAGCTCAGGCAAACAGACATCCAAGCCTCTCATCATGCTGCAAATGCCGAACATTGTGGCCATGACAATAGGTGGTAAAATTTGTGTTTTTTGTGGAGGATACTGGTTTGCTCTTCAGCTGCCCCAGGCAAGCACTCCCAGGGCTTCAGGAGCCCCATCTTGTGCAGGATTTAGCTTGTGGAGCCCTGAGAGTGCCTGCCCAGGTTTCTGTTTGCATAGACATGTCCTGGGAATCTCCTGGCGGGGGATTCCCCAAGCACATGTACTGTGCTACTCGGCTGACTCAGGGTGTGCTTCTGCAAGTATGGGGACCATAGGTTCCCTGGTTTGCAGAGGGGCACTCCAGGAATCCCTTGACTGGGGGCATGCATCCCCATGACCATTAACTGCTCTGCTGCATTCCAACTCAGGGCACCTGGGGTTCCCCTGTTTTTAGCTGTCCCACAGATGGGACACCAAAAGTAGCAGGGGCCTGACCCTAAGGGACAAAGGGCAAGATCTGTGGTGCCCAATAAAGCGTATTAGCTGTGCCAGGACACATCCAGGCACAGATGATCCTACTCTAAGGACAGTGTCTGTTTACAGCCTCTGTATTAAATTTATATCCAGACTGATCCCACTCCTTGTAGAAACAGGAGATTAACAACAGCACCACTATTATTACCAGTTTGTAATACTATATTTAATAGAAAAAAATACTGCTTAGTTGTGGAACTATTTAAGTCTGTCCAATATGAGGGCTTAGGACTGATTTCCATTTTCGGAAGTTTATATTTACCCCAATTTCCTAGGAAAAATATTTAGACTGATTTCAACTATTACATTTGGATAGAAAACAATTTTTAAAAATAACTGCAAGTTAAAAAAAAAACAAAACACTTAGAATATTATCTATCCATCCATCCATCTCTGTGCCCATTTTCTACTTAGACAAGAGTCTGCCAAATTACTGCAGGATCAAAGATAAAATACAGAGAGATGGGGGCGTGGCACTCTATATTAAGGAGTGCACATCCTCGTCAATTAGTAAGGAGTCAGGGGAGGGGCA